GGTGCGGTGCTTATAGTCCTCAGTGTCAGCTAGGAAGCATCAATTGGCAGAGGTACCCAGTCAGGATGCCAGGCGGTCCTTCACAACTCCCATTAACAATGATTGGTTAAATAAATCCGTTAATGGGTTTGCTAGTATACCACAAAGCTCTTTTTATAACTTTGGGTGTATTCCATAAGGCCCCAAAGACTTATTTGCCTTTCCTCTGAAAGTTGAAATAGAACCTCACACTCTGTAAACTCACATGTAACAAATTGCTCATTTGTCCTTTTTCCTAACTGAGATATCTTACCTTCATTTTCATCTGTAAATACTGAACAAAAATATATATTTTTTTTTTTTTGAAAATCTGTTTATTGAAGTATAACAGTGAAATCAAGTCGGCTCGCAGGCCAGGTAGAGATGCAATATTTCAGATAGCAAAAGGATAAACGTTAAGGTTCAAGGTTCAATGAAATACAAGCAAACATAACATGTCGTGAAGTGGTTTGAGGTTTCGAGTTCTTGGCTGTGTATATGCATTGTGACATCTATCCCCTGTGAAAAGGTGCAGTGGGAGTGTTTCGGCCTAATATAGTGTATCCATATATGTAGACACAGATACGTGTGTGCTCATAACGTACCACATTACTTATCACATTCACAGCGGGCGATACAGGTATATATGTTGTAAGCAAAAAGAGAAGGGAATATACACCAAGCTATAACAAGTTCAAAGAATTTATGTACATGTGTGTATTCTCAACGTGTGGCCACTCAGGAGTCAGGCAGCGCTCGTGTTCGTAGTCCGTGTGGTTTAGGTAAAGCGAACCTAACTTATGTACATTCGCCCCCCAAGGAAGCATAGGTTAAGTCATACAACACCATGTCATAGGAAAGGGGGCTATTTGGTCTCGTGGTGAGGGTCTGCCGGTTCGAGTCAGGGAAATCAGCGCGGTGATGGTTTATGGTCAGGGGTGCTGTCGAGTCTAGTCGGGCGTGTGTGCTACAGGGTCGGGGCTGGGAATTCTACCGCATCGTGGATGCGTATGAGATGGGCTTCTGTGTGTGCAATGGCGCTTAAGTATCTTTTTCCGTTGTGATTATCAGCCCATTCCTTGTCACTTCCCGACCCTAATGCCCCCACCCATTATCTCCTCTTGTGAGTAACCATATCCCAA